CTAACTGGTTTGGCTCAGTGGATAGAATGTTAGGGAGTTCCAAGGGTCCCAGGTTTGATTCCAGACAAGGGCATGTACCTTGGTTGCAGGCATATCCCCAGTAGGGGGTGTGTGTAGGAGGCAGCTGATCAGTCTTTTTAATTATCTATCCCTCTCCCTCTCCCTCTCTGTAAAAAGTCAATAAAAAATATATATTTTTTAAAAGATTATGTTCCATAACTGAAATTAAGGTAGCTTTTTCTTTACATATCTCTTCTAATGCTTGGATCACTTTATTTGATCATCACATAAAAATAAGCATAAAAGTTCCACCTAAGTTTTTGAAAACATTAAATAGTGTAATTTTGAAGCCATAATCTTAACTTTGCCAGCACTTAAAATTTCCCATGTGAAGGCAGGTCTTTATGTCCCAATTGCATTCTTTAAAAAAAAAAAAAAACAACCCAAAAAATGTGTGTTTTTGAGTATGACTTTGGAGTATCTCTCTCACACACACACACACACACACACACATATATATATATATATATATATATATATATATATATAATTGATTTTTTTTTACAGGGAGGGGGGAGAGGGATAGAGAGTTAGAAACACTGATGAGAAAAACATCAGCTGCCTCCTGCACATCCCCTACTGGGGATGTAACGAAACCTTGACCAGAATCGAACCTAGAACCCTTCAGTCCACAAGCCAACACTCTAGCCTCAGAGCAAAACCAGTTAGAGCCCAATTGCTTTCTTCTTTCATTATCACCACTAAGAAACAGGAGGAATCCAGGCTCACTATTGAGGTTGAACAGTAAGCAATTGACCAACTTATTAAGGTTGATTTCTCAAACTAAAATAACATGGGATTCTTAGAATATTTTGGAGAATGAAGGGGAAACATTTATTATCTACTATGTAAATGTTGAACACAGCATTTCACTGATTCTCTCCCCATAAAGCAGACTATGTTAAATCATCCAGGATCCAAGTAATAGATCCTTTGGAAACAGGAGTAGATCCTGGTTTTGGTTAACTTTAAAAGCATTTTCTGCCAAAACCGGTTTGGCTCAGTGGATGGAACTTCGGCCTGTGGACTGAAAGGTCTCAAGTTCGATTCCGGTCAAGGGCATGTACCTTGGTTGCGGGCATATTCCCAGTAGGGGGTGTGCAGGAGGCAGCTGATCGGTGTTTCTCTCTCATTGATGTATCTAACTCTCTATCCTTCTCCCTTCCTTTCTGTAAAAGATCAATAAAAATATATTTTAAAAATAAATAAATAAAAGCATTTTCTTATGGAAACAATGTTCTATTTGGTGTTAGGATCTACTTCTGCAACATTCTCCTGGTTCATGTACTGCCTGTGACATGGGATTGCAATATGGGTCAGAGAACAAGTATGCTCATAACCAGAAAGAAATAATTATTCATTAATCTTCATCCTTCTTACTTAGCTTTACTTTTGCTTTTTTTCAATAGCACTTTTTCATTTCTAATGTTGGGGTGGGAAAATTTTCCTTCTAGATCTTCTAGGTTTGTTGGCTAGTTTAACAATTAAGTTGACTTAAATGGATTAACAGGAGGAAAATAAATGTAATTTCATGAATTTGGAAGCTCCATAAAAATATGAGACCCCCAAAGGCAGTTAGGCAATTTAGGTTTATACGCTGTCCTGAGCTAAAAAATGGAATAGGAACCTGGGGCTTCAAATGGGAAGAGGACAACTCAAAGGTAGAAGAGCAGATGTTTGGTAATCAGATGTTTGCCAAGCTATGCAGGTAAGCCTTTTTGATAAAATATTACCTCTCAGATTATGTACTATAATATTGTACTCTTAAAACATATAATCTTATTACCAATGACACCAAATAAATTTAATTTTTAAAAAAGAAAGAAAAATTAATTCTGGTAATCTTTCTGTCCAGGCCCCCTAACTAAATTACTTTAGGGAGTTAGGGAGTGGTAAAAGTTTTGCTTAAGTCTGCTGGGTCTTAACTGCATTCAACTCAAAATAATTCATGTGCCCAACTGGTACATGCTGGCTTGGCATAGTCTGCTTTCTTTCACTAACATGCCACAGAATTTACTGATGTTTGTCCTCTGTCTCCACACTCTTTCTGCTCCCAAGCTCTTTGAGGGAACAGATCTTTATTGTACACTCATGTATCCAACTTCTTGGAATAATGCCTGGCACATAATAGGTGCTCACTGGATATTTGTTGAATGAATCAGTATAAGAATGATCTTTGCTCCCCGAGGAGTTTATAAACTCCCAAAAAGCAGGAACCACACCTATCTTACTCTAGGATTTATACTCAGAGCCTAGTGCTCGCTTCGGCAGCACATATACTATACTCAGAGCCTAGGTTGCTGCTTCTACATAGGAGGAACATTTAAAGGTTGGGTGAATTAAAATGGTAGCTGGAGTTAAATACAGTTGACTTGCTAATGCTTGGTGCTAGGAGCTGCCTGGCTAACAGATGAAAATGAGAACCCAAAGGTTATTCCTAACATTGTATGAGAAAATTGCTATATATATATATATATATATATATATATATATATATATATATATATATATATATACTCTCTCTCTCTTTAGAGGCCCAGTGCACAAAATTCCTGCACTCTGGTGGTCCCTCAGCCTGGCCTGTGCATTCTCGCAGTCCAGGAGTCCTCGGGAGATGTCTGACTGATGATATAGGCCTGCTCCGCCTACGCTAGCAGTTGGATATCCTGAGCACTGCCTCAGAGGCAGAAGAGGCTCCCACCACTACTACTGCACTCTCCATCGATGAGCCTGGCTTCTGGCTGAGCAGGTAAGCCTGTCTGATAAAATGTTACCTCTGATAAAATGTTACACAGAGGGAGCGCACTGCCCAACCACCAGGGGGCAACTCCTGAATTGAGCATCTGTCCTCTGGTGATCAGTGTGTATCACAGCGACTGGTCATTCCACAGTTCAGTCAATTTGCATAGTAGCCTTTTATTATATAAGAGATACACTGAGTGGCCAGATTATTATAATCTCTGAACACATAATAATCTGGCCACTCAGTGTATATTCTATATAATAAAAGGCTACTATGCAAATTGTCCCCTTGACCAGGAGTCCGACCAGCAGGCAGGCTGGCCAACTGCCCATGTCCCCTCCCCCTGGCCAGGCTGGCTGGACCCCATCAATGCACGAGTTCATTCACTGGGCCTCTAACATACATATACATATATATATTCATGCGTGTATACACACACACACACACACACACACACTGAGTGGTCAGATTATTATGTGTTCAGAGATAATAATCTGGCCACTCTGTGTGTGTGTGTGTGTGTGTGTGTGTGTGTGTGTGTGTATATATATATATATATTTTTTTTTTTTTTTTTTTTGGCAACACAGGTAAAGCAGACCAAAAGTTGAACAACAATCTCTCTCTCACACACACAACCAACAACAGCACCGACTCCCTGGACCCCATTTTAAGCTAACCAGCTCTGGGCCAGGTAAAGAGGCTAATGACTATCTTATGTCTCGTGGTCACCTTTTTCTTACAAATATCTTGGAAGGCCCATCCAAGTCAGGTTGCTGGCCCATTTTGGTCCTAGTGGAGGTGGAGGAGGTGATAGTTTATTGCTGAGGTTAGATGGCCTTAGGACTTAATTCATATGTTAAGACTACTGGTGCTTCTTATACTAAATTAATAGTATGTCTAATATGCTAAGACTACTGGTGCCTTTTTCTCCTAGCACACAGGGTCTGATCCAACTGATTCAAGGGCTGGCCAGACTAGGGACAGGTACAGTATCCCCAGACTCAGTTTCCTTATCAGGAAAAACAGTCATTTTATTAAAGCTACTAGAGCTCAGTGCATGAAATTCATGCTCTTGGGGGAGAGGGTCCCTCAGCCTGGCCTGTGCCCTCTCACAGTCTGGGTGGGAGCCCTCAGGCCTAAGCTGACAGTCAGACATCCCTGAGGGCTCATGGACAGTTAGACAACCTGAGCGCTGCTCACAAGGGGGCAGCTCCTGCATTGAGTGTCTGCCCCTTGGTGGTCAATGTACATCATAGTGACCGGTCGTTTCACCATTTAATTGATTTGTATATTAGCCTTTTATTATATAGGGTTATATAGGATTGAGAGGCATAAGGCATGTAAAGCGTTTCACACAGTGTCTTAAAAGCAACTGTTAGCTATTACACTTAGTGACTTCTCCTGTTTCTTATTTTGATATTTTAATTGATTTTTCACAGAGAGGGATAGGGACAGAGAGTTAGAAACATCAAAGAGAGAGACATCCATCGATCAGCTGCCTCCTGCACACCCTCCACGGGAGATGCGCCCACAACCAAGGCACATGCACCTGACCAGGATCCAATCCGGGACCTTTCAGTCCGCAGGCCGACGCTCTTTCTACTGAGCCAAACCGGCTTCGGCCTTTTCCCTGTTTCTTCATTCTTTGTTTCCCTCCGCTAATTTTGGTTTAACCTAATGGGGGGAAGACTGCTTCCCCCCAAACACTCTCTGGGCATGCGCACCAACAGCACAGCCGCACCCTTTCCTAAGCATTGATGGGGGGGGGGGTGAGTGGGTGAAGAGACTCTCCTCCCACCCACTTTGATGGGACTAGGAGGCTAAACAACGTAAAACTCGTCAAATGACAGACCAAAAGGGCTGCAAACCTCCGCGCTCCTCTTCTGGAGAGAGCGAGCCCACGAGCGCGCCTCCGAGGACCCAAGGACTCACAATCCCGCCCCGCGACTGCGCCAAAAGCGAGCCCGGCCGCCCGCAGCTACTGGCCGGGGGGGGGGCAGCCGGCTGGCAGGCTTTCCATTGGCCCGGAGTCCCACACGCCGGCAGACTCCCCCCCTTCCGGTTGCTGTTGGTTGAAGCCGGAAACTACGGCCGCCGTGATTGGCTGAGCCCCGCTGTCAGTCCTTTTGCGTCTGGCGGCGCGACACGGCCCGGCGCGGCCCGAGGAGCAGTCTCGCAGCCTGCTGCAGGGAGAAGATGGCGGTCGCAGTGAGAACTTTGCAGGAGCAGCTAGAAAAGGCCAAAGAGAGCCTCAAGAACGTGGATGAGAATATCCGCAAGCTCACCGGGCGGGATCCGAACGACGTGAGGTAAGGGCCGGGTGAGAAACGCGGGCTCCGAGAGGCAGCCACCATCCAGCCGAGGTGAATTGGGGGCGGGGAGGGCGGCCCGCTAGGAGAAGGCTGTTACATCGAGGCCTGGTCCCGGGGCGGCGATGGAACCCGGGCGTCGGGGAGGCGGGAGTCTCCTAGGCTCCCGCCACGGCTCCTCGGGCTCCGGTGCGGGAGGCAGGAAAGCGCGGCCCGGGCGCGCCGGGGCCTCCGGGCCTGTGGGGAGGAAGGCCGGGGTCCCGCTTCCCGCCCTGGCTCCGCGGGCCCGGGGCGGCCGCGCAAGCCCCTCCCGCCGGCCCCCCGCCGGCGCCCGGAGGCCGGACCGGGACCGGGACCGGGACCGGGACCCGGACGCCGCCTCGCTCCCAGGCTGGTCCACGTGCAGCCGCCTTGGGGTCGGCGAAGGTAGGAAGTGATGCAAGCGTGCTAGCGCGGCCACTGTGCTGAGTGTGGTGTTGGGCTTGGAAATATAAGGAAGTGAAATAGTGCTCCCTGCCCGTTTTCAAACGCGCGAATTTGATACGTCTTTTTAGAGTTTTCGTGCCTTTTTTTTTTTTTTTTCTCATAATGAACCTCGCCCGTAAATGAAATACATTAGGAGTGTCCACATGTGACTTTTGCACTGACTTGTAACTATCTCTTAGGCCCATCCAAGCCAGGTTGCTGGCCCTTTCTGGTCCTGGTGGAGGTAGAGGACGTGGTAGTTTATTGCTGAGGTAAGATTTCTTTGGGACTTAATTCATATGCCAAGCCTAACGGGTGCTCTTTACACTAAACTAACATGTCTTTCTAAACAAAAGTCATGGTAGAACCAATGTTAGAAATGTCTGTGTGTAAAGCTGTAATCAACTGTAGTTACTTTGTAACTTCACGTATAGGCAAAACGAGTTAACTGTACCAGTTTTGTGTGAACTTATTTGTTCTGGGGTTTGTTTTGAATGCTGTAAAAATATCTTGGAAGTGAATGCCCATTTAAGGTTGCTTTGATTGGAAAGATACTTAAAAATTTCAGTTCTCTTGCTAAACGGAGGTATCATTTGTCTTAAATCTCACGTGCTTTCTGTTGGACATTTTTAATCACAGGCGTGGATTCTCAGATAGTGGAGGAGGACCCCCAGCCAAACAGAGAGACCTTGAAGGGGCAGTCAGTAGGTATGTTAAAAATTGAAGAAAAGGTTCTGAAGGCATAATTAAGTTCCCTTTTCTGAGGTAGTATACAGATGTAAATACTGTTTGTCGATGAAATAATCACCAGCCTATAGAGAAGTTTTATAAGAGTTTATTTGAGCCACAGTTTTGAGTATATGCCCAGAAAGCAAAATCTCAACAGGTTGAAAAAATGCTTTGGAGAAGGGCAATTTTGCTACTAATTTTATACATTACAATAAAAGGAGGAGATATAAGAAGGGATATAAAATCCATTGGTGATAAAGGAGGCTGGAGAAAGCAAAGCAGGGAAATCTCTAGGATTGGGTAAGAAGCAAAATGGAGAGACACATTATTACTTTTATATTGGTGGGTACAGGATGGTTAATATTTATGGTATGTAGAGATGTTATGTGGGAACAAGACAACAGTAACAATGGGGTATTGGGCTGTGGAGCCTGCAGTTGTGCTTTGGAGGGGTCTAGAAAAGAATTACCCTATCATTTCAAAGGCAAGTTATCCTGTATGCTTACCAGCAATGGACAGAGATCGCTTGAGATAAAGCTTGACCTTTGCTAATAAGGAAGCTGTAGGCCTGGGACAGCCATGGCTTGCATAGATATGAATTTATAATCAGGCCATCCTGTGTGGTTGGTTACTCTTGGTCACTGAGACACACAGTTTCCTTCAAAATTCAGTTTTTCACTGATAATAAATATTCCCAAAATAAAGGTTATGAGACAAATAAGGTTGAGAGCATAGTGAATTTGTGCTACTTTTCTGCCTCATACTGCAAAAACAGCCAGTTTGATAAGGAAAGGAGACCAAAGTCTGGATTGGACAGTGGTGTTATATTTTATTCTTTCACTGTTAGAGGAAAAAGTAAAATGGGATGGGAACTAAGAGAATGAGGTTTCTGAAAAAGTCCTAGAAAAAGTAAAGCATTTACTCTAGTTATGCTCTTAACTCAAATTCTGTAGTGGTCATTTAAATTATCTTTCCTATGACAGGCTGGGAGGGGAGCGTCGGACAAGGAGAGAATCACGCCAAGAAAGCGACCCAGAGGATGATGATGTTAAAAAGGTAATTGAGATTAAAAGAACTTCTTCGCGGGTGAATGTAGTATTTTCATCTTAAAACACTTTAGATTACCACCCATATGTTGTTAAGCCACTGAGATTTTCTTTTCTACTGTAGCCAGCTTTGCAGTCTTCAGTTGTAGCTACCTCCAAAGAGCGTACACGGAGAGACCTTATCCAGGATCAAAATATGGATGAAAAAGGAAAGCAAAGGTAACTTTTATGACTTGGGGGGGCTTTTCAAATTTTTATGAAAATTTAAGCATTTGTCCAGGTGCCTATAGTATGTTCCTTTTTAGGAATTGCCAGGTATAAATGAAGTGGATTTTATTGAAATTAAATTTTCTGTTCTTTAGGAACCGGCGAATATTTGGCTTGTTGATGGGCACCCTTCAGAAATTTAAACAAGAGTCTACTGTCGCTACTGAAAGGGTATTAATGCAATTTTTATTTACTTCCTTTACTTATAAAAGAATATGCTTATGTTTTCAAAAAGAGCCAAAAAGCTCTCCAAAGATTTAATTGCAAGCCTGAAATGGAGCCAAGGAAAAACATAAAACTTTTCTGGAGTTAATTTATCAACAACCATCAACCAATCTTTATTAAGGTGCAGTGAAGTAATTGAGTGAACTTCCTTGTGGTGTAAAGGACTGTGGGCTGTGAGTCAGAAGAACCTAAGCTCTATAACAAGTTCATTTTCTTCAACAAGGAAGTTGAACTCATCATTGGTACTAGTTCAATAATTCTGATTTTTTTTTTAAGACTTATTTTCACACTTGGGCAGTACTTAGCATTCTAGAAGCAAAAGCAAAAGTGTTTACTGCCCTCCACAGTTTATTTAAATGTGTTATCTTTCTAGAAGCTTTTATTTTGCTGAAGGTACAAAATTGTGTCCATAGAGTTGAACACCCAAGTTATTGCTTCTTAGGGAAGAATTTATAGTGGGAAGGGAGAAAACAATTCAGTTTTAGGAGATTAATAAACTTATTACAGTTTTTATGTATTAATTTTAATATAGAATATAAAAGGCTTAAAAGCATTTTAATGTGTGAATAGTAAATGTATTTTTTTAATAGATGGAGAAAAAGTGTGACTAATCAATTTATTAGGATATCACATCTCTCGGATTTTTTTTTATTTTTTTTATTCAGAAAGCATAACTGAAGACAGCCTACCTATAAAGACTTTTTTTTGTGGTTAATTTTTGAATCTTACCTAAAAGTCATGTTGGAATAAAACAGTTACTGATATTATTGGCTAATAGCTTTAAAATTTAGATTTTTACATGTAAAAATTTTGGCTTCCATTTCCTGAAAGAGAAATTTCAGCCTTAAATGTTTAAGTAGTGCTAAGTTTGAATTAGTTGGTACTTTGAATTGCAAATGTGAGTCAAATATGTAGATAATTTCATGAAATTGTTATTTCACATAATCAGGGTATGTAATGAGATTTTAAAATTCATTATTTATCTTTAGCAAAAGAGACGCCAGGAAATTGAACAAAAACTTGAAGTGCAGGCAGAAGAGGAGAGAAAGCAGGTTGAAAATGAGAGGAGAGAACTATTTGAAGAGAGGCGTGCAAAACAGACAGAACTGCGGCTTTTGGAGCAGAAGGTTGAGCTTGCGCAGCTGGTGAGTGGGTAGTATTTTCAAGTTCTAATATTGATAATCCTTCATGTGTCAAAAGCACTGACCTTTTTACCTTTTCTTTAGCAAGAAGAATGGAATGAGCATAATGCCAAGATAATTAAATATATAAGAACTAAGACAAAGCCCCATTTATTCTATATTCCTGGAAGAATGTGTCCAGCCACCCAAAAACTAATAGAAGAGTCACAGAGAAAGATGAATGGTAAGTGTATGTGAAGAGATCGATTGAAATATTCCTCATTGGTAAGGCAATACTCTCACACATGCATGTTTGTTTCCTACAATAGTTGATTTTAAAAAAATAATATACTAATGTTTTTGAAGTACAGGAGGATCATTTGTTTCATGATGGAGTTTAACCTGAAACTTTCATATTTTGTAGGTGGTGCTCAATTCATGTGTATACTTTATGCATTTGAGTGATGGGACCTTTTTTTGCTTGATACTTTTTAGTAGGCAGACATAAATATAAAAGTGAACATAGAACATCAGTGTAGTCCATAGAGTGGGACGCGCACACAGAAGGGTAGAGATACTGCTAAGGTGATTAGATGATTTCTCGGGATCAGAAAAATTAATGCATGATGTACCATAAAACTGATTATTTGAGGGAAGTTTTTTGTCTTTTCTACTAGCATAAAATTAAATGGCAAAAGATTGTCACATATGTAATATGGAACTAATTTGTTTATTTTTAAAATACATTTTTATTGATTTCTGTGAGGAATGGAGCGAAAGAGAGAAATATCAATGATGAGGATCATCGATTGGCTGCCTCCTGCATGCCCCCTACTGGAGATCAAGCCCACAACCCGGGCATGTGCCCTTGACTGGAATCAAACCCAGGACCCTTCAGACCGTAGGCCAATGCTCTATTCACTGAGCCAAATCAGCTAGGGCTAATTTGTTTATTTTAACCCTCATCTGAGGCTTTTTTTTTTCCATTGGATTTTTAGGGGGGTGGGGGATGGAGAGAGACAGAAACTTCAATGATGGGAGAGAATCATTGATCGGCTGCCTCCCGCACGACTCCCACTGGGACCTTGGCTGGAATCGAACTTAGGATCCTTGAGTCGGCAAGCCAACGCTCCATCCACTGAGCCAACCTGGCCAGGCTCCTCTACCGCCCCCTTTTTTTTAAATCCTCGCCTGAGGATACTTTTCTATTGACTTTTAGAGGTAAAGAAAGACAGAAATATCAATGTGAGAGGAACACATTGATTGGTTACCTCCTGCACACGCCCTGACCGGCATCCGGGCCAGGGAGGAGATATGTGCGTGCCCTTGTCTGGAATTGAACCCAGGACCCGTTGGTCTACAGGCCAACACTCTATCCACTGAGCCAAACCAGCTAGGACATAATTATTTTTTTACAAAATAAATTTAGATAAAGCTCAATGACAGGTTGTGGCCAGGTGTCAAGTTGTGGCTGAATATTCTTAATCATAGTAAATTTTACACATGTAAATTTTTGTTCTTTATAGCTTTATTTGAAAGTAGACGCATCGAATTTGCAGAACAAATAAATAAAATGGAGGCTAGGCCTAGAAGACAATCAATGAAGGAAAAAGAGCATCAGATGGTGCGTAATGAAGAAAAGAAGGCGGAACAAGAAGAGGGTAAGGTGGCTCAGCGAGAGGAAGAGTTGGAGGAGACAGGTAATCAGCACAATGATGTAGAAATAGAGGAAGCAGGAGAGGAAGAGGAAAAGGAAATAAGTATAGTTCATAGTGATGCAGAGAAAGAACAGGAGGAGGAGGAACAAAAACAGGAAATGGAGGTTAAGATGGAAGAGGAAACTGAGGTAAGGGAAAGTGAAAAGCAGCCAGATAGTCAACCTGAGGAAGTTTTGGATGTGCTAGAAATGGTGGAGAGTGTCAAAAATGTAATTGCTGAGCAGGAGGTAATGGAAACCAATCAAGTTGAAAGTTTAGAACCTTCAGAAAATGAAACTAACAAGGAATTGGAGCCAGAAATGGAGTTTGAAGTTGAGCCAGAGAAAGAATGTAAGTCTCTTTCTCCTTCGAAAGAGAATGCTAATGCTCTAGAAATGGAAAATGAGCCTGAGGACAAAGAAGAGAAAGAATCTGAGCCCCAACCCGAGCCTATGGCTCAGGCTCAGCCCCAGCCCCAGCCCCAGCCCCTGGCTCAGCCTCAGCTTCAGCCTCAGCCTCAGCCTGAGCCTCAGCCTCAATCTCAATCTCAATCTCAATCTCAGTCCCAATCAGTACTCCAGCCCCAGCCTCTCTCTCAGCCTGAGACTTTGCCATTAGCTGTTGTACAGTCATCACCTCAGGTTATTCAGGAGCAAGGGCATTTACTACCTGAAAGGAAGGAGTTACCTATAGGATCGGTAAAACTCACTGAGGTGACAGTAGAGCCAGTTGTGACAGTACATCCGGAGAGCAAATCTAAAACCAAAACTAGGAGCAGAAGTAGAGGTCGAGCTAGAAATAAAACAAGCAAGAGTAAAAGCCGGAGCAGTAGCAGTAGCAGTTCTAGTAGCAGTTCAACCAGTAGCAGCAGTGGAAGCAGTTCCAGCAGTGGCAGTAGTAGCAGTCGAAGTAGTTCCAGTAGCAGCTCCAGTACAAGTGGCAGCAGCAGCAGAGACAGTAGCAGCAGCACTAGTAGTAGCAGTGAGAGTAGAAGTCGGAGTAGGGGCCGGGGACATAATAGAGATAGAAAGCACAGAAGGAGTGTGGAGCGGAAGCGAAGGGATACATCAGGAGTAGAAAGGAGTCACAAATCTTCAAAAGGAGGCAGTAGTAGAGATACAAAAGGATCAAAGGATAAGAATTCCCGGTCCGACAGAAAGAGGTCTATATCAGAGAGTAGTCGATCAGGCAAAAGATCTTCAAGAAGTGAAAGAGACCGAAAATCAGACAGGAAAGACAAGAGGCGTTAATGGAAGAAGCCAGGCTTTCTTAGCCTATTCTTTGCAGCAGAAGATTTCTTGATGAGTAAAAGGATTACCTTTCCTTGTAAGGAGGATGCTGCCTTAAGAATTGCATGTTGTAAAAATATCTTTTTGGAAAATACAGACTGTTTGTTTACCAGACATTCTTGTACTTTTTGCATAATTTTGTAAGAGTTATTTATCAAAATTATGTGAGGTTCCAAAATATGTAAAAATAATAATAATAAAAAAAGATTAACATCCCTTGTCATCTTTTTTAAATATCCTATTCTCTTCAGTAAGAATCTGTATATTTTAATAGGTAAATCTTTAAGTCTGTCCCCTTCTAATTCTAGATCATACTTTGCTTTTGTAGAAATAAATGCTAATTTCTTTCATTAGTTTTGGGATGTTCTAGACACTTGTATAATAAATATCCTCTTGGTATCATTTTCAGCTTTTATCATTAGATACTGAACATGATTAGAATGTCTTTGAAAGTTTCCAATTTTATTTGCCTTAGACAATATTTCTTGTTGTCAAAGTCAGATCTTTGCGGCTTTGGTGGGGAAGGGCATAGTTCTTAGGATGTTTCACTATTTTTTTTTAATTTCCCTTGTTATTTTTATCCCCATCTCATTTACATCATAAATTTGGTATATAAATTAAAACTGATTTTCTTCACAATTATGGGAACATTTTTTGTCTTCATTGTTTCTTTTGTGATGCAGCATATACATCTGTTAAAATAATCACTTCTTTCTAGGGGAGGGAGGTAGAAAAGTATATTCTAAACTTGGTTTTTTAGTTTGTGGTCTTAACTTTTGTGTTGGCTCTAACTGAAACATGCCAATAAGTGTTTTCAAGAATTTTTGTTGAAGTATTGTATGAAAGTTTACAAAATAAAGAAGATTCATCTACACTTGAATCTGTAAACAAGATAACACAAGTGTACCAAGTGATTATTAACTTTGTTTTTTATAAATTTGTATGAGTTTGAAGTATCTGTTGTCCATTACATGTGCAAATAAATGTGGCTTAGATTTGTGTGACTGCTTAAGACTAGTACTTGTATTAACTTTTTGATGCTTTATACAAGAGAGCACTTAAGTTGCAAATGGTCTTTTGAGTTCATAATTTAACATTGACTATATAACTTTAGGTTTGACTTTAAATATTATTCCTTCCTTTTGACAAGTAACTGATAATAATGAAAATGTCCACAGGCATTTCTAGCATTGTATAAGTGTAAAAGAACTCTAAAATATCCTTTCTTGGAGTACTAAATAAGCAGTAAATGAACAGAACTCCAAATATGGGGCTAGTTAGCTACCTGCATCCCTGAGCCAGTTTTATCCCTTTAATCTCCAGCGGTAAGTAGTTTTCCCTTATTTGCGAGGGATATGTTCCTTTATCTGCAAGGGATGCCTAAAACATGGATGGTATCAAACCCTGTGTATACTATATTTTTATCCTAGGGAAACAAAAAGTTTGTTAGACATGTTAAGAAATTACCAGTAATACAAAAAAAACAGAACAAAAGAATATAATAAAGGTTATATGAATGTGATGACTAGTTTCAGGGTATCGTTTGCCATTTAATACTTATCTCAATTGCAGGTAATACCATGGGGGGGGGGGGGGCTACTGTACACATTTTTTCCTGTGCCAGGATGAGGAAAAGATAACCACTTAAAAGGATGACAGACACTTCATTGGCCAGTATGGCTCAGTTTGCTAGGCATCCATCCCATACACCAAAAAGTTGCCTGTTCAATTCCTAGCCAGGGCAGCTTGTCACTTTCACATAGATGTTTCTCCCTGTCCCTTCTCTCAAAATCTTTTAAAAGAAAGGTTACATGTTTTAAAGTCCTTGTTTTATGAATAATCTTATGTAATATTCTTTGTACAAGTTAAATTTTGTTCATGCATTTTTCTGCAAAAGTTGAACAATTTTCATGATGCTTGTAGAAAAGACTAGTTTTGGCTTTAAGGCAATTGGGAGTGGTGTGCTTTAAAGCATGGGGGGAGAAAAGGTTTGGTATATGGAGCAATTTTCAATTCAAGTTTTGCTGATGTTTATAGAAATTATACTAATTTTACTTGGTATGCATTTGTGAATTAGAAAGTTTCATTTTTAAAATTGAGTTCATTTATTTTTATTTCCAATGCTTTCTCAGAAGTGAAATTTTATGGAATTCAGAGAACTAATTGGTTACTTACAAAGATCAGATCTAAGGAATGTTAGAATGTAAAAGTAGGAACAGTTTACTGTTGTGGGAGGTAGGGACAGTCTAGGGTCCTATTAGAGGTTATAAGTTAGTGTTTATGTAAGTTTAGAAGCTGAAGAGGAACAGGGTTAGTGAAGAAAGACAACTTAGTTTGGAACTCTGTAAGTTAGCAAAGGAATCTAATTTGATGTTTGAAAATATTCACCCTTAAAATGCAAGGTTTGTACTGCCACAGAAATCCGAAGTTTCTTTGGTCTTCAGTGGACTGTATCCAATCTAGGGCTCATCTATGTACTGTTGCTAGAACTGGTAACCACATATATACTCTAGTAATTTGGACTAAGCAAGTAAAAAGTTGGACAAGCTTATAGTTAAATAAATAGACAAATTTAAAAGGAAAGCTATTAGTGATAACATGGTATAGTAATAATGGGTCAGTGTTGTCAGGATAAGTCATTAAAAGTTTTTAGCTTTGGCTGGTTTGGTTCAGAGCATTGGTTAGGGAGGCAAACAATGGATATGTCTCATGTCAATGTTTCTCTGCCCTGCTCGTCTTCCACTCCTCCCTCCTATTCCCTAGAAAGCAATGGGAAAAATATCCTCGGGTGAGAATTAAGAAAAAGTTTGTGCGTTCAGTCACTTAAAAAACCATACTGAAGTTGGAAAAAGCCTTATTCAGTTTCCCTTGAGATAATGCCATTAAAGTGCTTAGCCCAGGAAAAAATCAGCTTTTACATGGTTGGACCTTCTTACCCTAATAAACAATTGGGGAAGGTTAATAAAAGTGAAAGTCCTACCTTAGCCAGTTTGTCTTAGTGGATAGCAACCACAGGTTTGGTTCTGGTCAAAGGCTTGTACCTTGGTTGCAGGCTCAATCCCCGGCCCCAATTGGGGGCAACTAATAAAGACATGTCAATGTTTCTGTCTCCCCCCCTCCCTAGCACTCAAAATCAATGGAAAAAATATTCTCTGGTGAGGAATAACAACAAAAGTCTAAACACTTTTTACACATTTTCTCACCTAGCATGATCTTTAAAAAAAAAAATTATACTGAAATTACAACTCTGCACTTGCCATGGCCATTTGAATACACAGTTTAAATTTGTAATAATCACTACTTGGTCCTAGCTGCGTTGCTCAGTGGATAGAACGTTGGCTGTGGACTGAAGGGTCCCAAGTTTGATTCCAGCCAAGGGCACATGCCCGGGTTGGGGGCTCGATCCCCAGTAGGGTGTGTGCAGAATGCAACCGGTCAAATCTCTCATCCATGTTTCTATCTCCTGCTCCCTTCAATGAAATTTTTTGTTTTTACTTTTTTAATCACTACTTGCCTTTGCTATCCCCTTTTCTTGCTTTATTTCCTTCCATAACATTTAGCATTATTTTGTAGTTTTATACTTTGGTTTATTGTCTACTTCCCATTAGAATGCAAGCTCCAAAGACAATACTATCACAAATGAATTATGACAAGTCAGTGTGGTTTATGTGGTTCCATTCTGCTTGCCTTTACAACTATAATTGCCTCTCCATTGTTTGAAACAATGACTCAAGATATATCAAAGAGTAAGCAAGGGAGAAAAGTTAAGAATTTAAAAAAATTTTTAAAAAGGTACTCCAGCTTGTATAGGCCCTTCTAGGCCATTTAAGTCCTGTATCTTTTTTTATTTTATTTTATTGATTTTTTTGTACAGAGAGGAAAGGAGAAAGAGAGCTAGAAACATCGATGAGAGAGAGTCATCGATCAGCTGCCTCTTGCATACCCCCCACTGGGGATATGCCCGCAACCAAGGTACATGCCCTTGACCGGAATCGAACCCGGGTCTCTTCAGTCCCCAAGCCGACGCTCTATCCACTGAGCCAAACCAGTTTCGGCTAAGTCCTTTATCTTTTATCTATGGGAAATTATTAGAGGGTTTGAACAGAGGGGTGAAGTAACAGGATTTATGTACTCAGAATCTGTCTGCTGTGCTGAGAAAGACTTAAGTGGGACCAAGGGCAGGAACAGAAATAGGTAGTGATATAATCAGGCAAAATATAGTAACTTAGGCCAGGGTGGTAGCAATGGAAGTGGTGATTGGATTCTGGATGTACTTTTGACGAGAGTCACCAGTTGTTTTGTTGGTGGAGTGTACATGAATGAGAAGTCAAGGATGAGAGATTTTACCTGGGCAATTAGAAATGACTTGCCATTACCTGAGATGGGGAAAAACTAGAATTAACAGAGGTGGGGCTAGTGGAGGTCATCAATGGCTCAGGAGCTTAGTTTGAGATTTCCTATTAGACACCCAAGAGGAGATAGGAAGTTAGACATAACATTTCGGGTTTGGGAGGTAGTTTTGTATTGGAAATAGTGAATTTTGAGAGTTCCAAGCATGTCAATGGTAAGATCACTGAAGAGTGAGTGTAGCTAGGGAAGAGATCAAATGACAGCCATAGACACCTCGGACGGGGTGCTGAAGAGGAATCGGCAAAAGAGAAGTGAACTGAGATTGCTGAACCCAGTTTGACACCTGGTGTCGTTTTTTCCACTGCGAACAAATGCAGTCACAGATTGTGCTTGGGAGCTAGTGCTTTGTGGCTAGCTATGGAGGAGTCATTGAGCGGCTGCTTATTACTCAGCTTTGTGTCCAAGTTGAAAAAGCCGTGGCCCACCCCCTGGCAATGGGCAAGGAGACACCTGATTAGTGGTTGCCCTTACAGCCTGAGTCGGGTGAAGCAGACACTCCTTATGTAGTTTATCCTCGCTTGTTGCCTGTATTGCTGGTCAGAGCTGTTTCA